AAAAAGTAAGACGTCTAGTTAAAGTTCCTTCGCCACTTATATAGACCCCATAAAATTAGCTTCAATAAGAAATTCACTAATAAAAATTATAGTTTAATGGGTAATAAACTTTTATTTATACTTCTTTAAATTAAATTTGTATTCAATTGCCTGCATTTAAATAAAGGTGTTCTGCCTAGTTTAATATGGGTTTTAGATGTAAAGTTTAATTATTTTCTATCATAAAGATCCTTTTCTTTGATAACGTTGGGTAACTAACGCTTCTCCAAGTGCCTTAAAAGTAGTAAACTCTGGCTCTATTGGTCAGCAGGGGCTCTTTCCTTCGAGGCAGCCCGATTCCTGCAGGCATTTAAGTAAATCGTTCGCCTTTGTTTTCCTTTTTTTTGCTAACATTTTATGGTGCGTTTAGTATTTGTGTAGGCTCACTTGTGTTGTCACGATGTCGCTTAATGTTTGCTTTTAATTATCAAATCAGCACATGATCATTACACAGCCGACGACAATGGTGACGATTATCTGGGAGATAAAGATGATTATAATGATGATGATGAGACTCCCGCCGTTGCTGCAAGCAATTCCCAAAGGCATTAAATTAAACATTTTATTTGTACAATTTTTATGCATATTTGCGAAGCATTCCCGTGACTGTGACTTAAAAGGCAAATATTATTTTATTTACAAATATAAAATCGAAAGAAAACGCAAGGGATAAGAATGAGGAAGCAATAAAACGTTGTTAAATGAATAAGCGAAATATATATTTTTTGTGATTCACCCTGAATTTAATTTTTATTCCTGACAAATCAATTTTCTTTGACCTTTTCCTGTTCCGCATTAACAAAAATTTGAACACCTTTCTGTTTGCTAATCAAATCTCGGCCCTTTTTAGCCGACAATCGATGGCTGTTCCAGGTCGATAAATCAGCCAACGAAGTATTTCATTGTTATCGCATCTCATCCCATCCGATCCAAAACCGATTCGATCCCATACTACACCATTCCAATCCCAATTTCAATCCGTCGCCGACTGTTTTCCTTTCACCTTTCGAATTCAATTAACTGCAGCCAAAATGCCAGAGACAATCTACAAAATTCGTTAAGCAAATGGAAGAGCGTGGGAGTTGTTTGTATTCCCAATCCTCCCCCCTTTTTTCGACCCACTCGCAAATATTTGCCATCAACATTTTTGCACGCTAATTTCCTCTGCAAATTTTTGGGACTCTGACATCACGCGCGGAACGCATAAAGATTGTATGGAGGCGCTCGGGGCGGAAAGATAGATATTTTAAAATGAAATAAAAAAAACGAAACTGTTGCAGTTCAGTAGACACACAGCTGCAGAGGGGATGGGTGCTACAAATTTCGTCACATATTTTTGCGTAAATTGCCGGAAAATCGCAAATCATTGAAGATAAACATCCAAGTCAAGAAATGAACAGAAGCCAAGAAGCCGCCGGAGAAGTTGGGGTAAAGATGCCGGGGAAATGTGGGAAAAAAGTCAGGGAAAACGGAGGGGCGGAAAAGCGGGGACAACCGCTGAACCAAATATCGAACAATGTTAAGCAAACACTCACTCAAACACACAGTCAAACAGAGATTCGGAAAGCTGTGTGCAAGGCGAAGGCAATGGCAAAGGCGAAAGGCATCCAGCAAGCAGCTAAAAAAAAGCTATGACGAGGAAACGGTTTCAAAGCACTAAAAGAAATCTATTATAACTCTAAGAAATATCTGAAAAATTATGACAAATTTACAGAAAGAAGTAATGTATTATTCGTATGGTAAACAAGTAGAAAAACATGTACTATATCATGGACATATTGAGTTTAGTAATATTTTTTTATTTTTTTTTTGTAATAAACTACAAAATAAATTACGGAGTCATACAGAAGTCAGGAATATTATTTAGAAATCATATGGTCTTAAAATAATCTAAGATTATAATTGTCCTCTAAATTTTCTAAGTGTCTATCAGAGGCTCAGTTCTGCGGTCGCCGTCTGTCGTCGAGCCTTCGATGCCAATAAAATCGGGAAAGGGGCTATGGTATGGCCGGGGAGCCTTCGCTAAGAGGTAAGGGCAGGGAGCCGGGGAAATGGGCCAAGAGTGCACTGAAGGGGCTATAGAGATAGACCAGACAGAGGGCAAAAAGCAGAGGCTACAGCTGCCGGGGCAGAAACGTTTTCGCAACGCTTGAATTGCCACTAAAGTGGGGGAGTTTGTTAGCGAGCGGGGAGGGAGGAAATCGTTGGGTCTTTGAGGGGGAAATCGGATGGGAAATCGTAGAGGGGTTCAGTTCATCTGCAACAAGCGCGAGCTGTCGTTGCAGTTTCCGCATCGCAATTCGCTCGCTTTCCACGCATCTCCCACTCGCTGAGGCTCACTTCGCAGCTCCGGAAAAGCAAAGGGGGAAAAACAGAAATCCAACATTAGGTAACCCTGCATGTAGCATGGGGTCTTGACGTGTTTATAAATATTTATAAAGCCCGATGAAAGGACGCGATTATGCAGCAACCTTGACGGGATTTAACGGAACCCCAATTTTAGATTGACTAGATGCGTTTCTTACTCTTTTGCGGTAGATTTTATTCAATACTTAAACAAAAAAATAACAACTTTAAAACGAATAAAATATTAGGAACTATGATTGTTTTTGAACAGAAAAATAATTTGAAAAGTTCTACATTAAATGTATTCTATTTAAAATCCTTTAAAAAATATTTTGTCATATTTTGGAAAAAAATGTTGTTTGTATTTATTTTGTAGTATTGGAATTTTTATATAAATGGATTTATAATTTTCGATTATCCCCTCTATTTAGTCCGCCTTTTATATCCGGCTCCAGTTTCGACTTCACCTGGCGTATCTAATCAATTTCGGCCAATATTTGGCCACCTTGAAGCGAAAGGAAGGCTGAGATTGAGATTGCCAACGAGATTGGGATGGAGATTGAACCCGAGCGCTGAGCTTGTAATTTGTATTTAGTCACCGGCTGCTTGAGCTGCTCGTGCTGCTCCCTTCCAGCTGATTTCACTCGACTTGCAGGCAGATTTCTGGCGCGGCTGCTCTTTAGTCTTTAGTTCCTGGTTCCTGGTTCCCGAGTCTCCTGCCAAGACTTTTCCCATTAAATTGAATTTAGTTTGATTGCATTTGATTGTAGCTTATCAGAGAGATTTATGCTTCGTTAACCGTGTGCAGTGCAATTGAAAGGCAGAGGTAGAGGATGTTGTGGTACAGTACGGAGCATTTGCATAATGCCCTGATGCCGATGCCAGGCAAAAGCTCAACAGTTTTTAATTAAGCCGTGTGTGAGAGTGTGCGATGCTGAGTGAAAAGCGTTATAAATAGCCTTGAGGCCTTGGGCCTCAGCCATTTTCACAACTGATGATGACTGCTCCTCGCCGTTTTCGCGACTGAGATGCGGTGGCTTAAAGTGCGCACTCATTTTGCCATCTCTGCCATTTTGCCATTAGGCAAGGAAAGGAGCGGCTGCAGCGCTAGAAAACTCTCACTTTGGTCTATTAATGATGATTCGCACGGAACAGTCGTAAGCTCAGGTCTCAAGCCAAACAGCATTTAACCCTCTGAGAGTTGAGCTCTCGTAAAATATTTTCGAAATGATTTAAATTCGATATTAAATGTGGCGTATTTTTATGTAAATAATTTTGATATTTTTTATACACAATGTTAAAAAAATCCATTGAAAAATAATATTAGGGGTCTCTCTTTCTTCAAAAATATAAAATAAAGTCCATCTTAAAAAATCTTTAAAAAAATTTAAAAAAATTGTATTAATGTATAAAAAAATATTTTGGCTAATAAAATACAATTTTTTATGGGTTCTATGCAATTCTGTACCAACTTAAAAATCAATTAATTGTTTGAATATCTATGAGTAGCACTTAATTAATTCTTTATTTTGCTAAATATTAGAATCTTTTTAAATTAGTTTGGAATATACAGGTTGAGATTTTGTAATGGCTTTTATTTACATTTACAAATTTTTAAATTATTCTTTTACCAATGCCCAACATTTCTAAGACTCAAATAAAAGTCTAAGGGTTAATCTGCGACCAATCCAAGTCAAGTTGAAATATCATCAAGTTGGATAGAAATGATGCCGCGTTAATTGCGGCGGCCTCCAAGGCAAATGCAATTTTGCCTTCACTTTGCTCGTTGAGGCGTTAAGCTGACAGTTGCTCACCTGCAGCCCGCCCCCTTTTACAGCCCCCTTTAGCCGCCCCCTTTCACCTGCAGCTTATCATTTGGGCCTGGCCATGACGCGTGATGCGTTTTGATAATTGCGTGCCGGTGGAAAAGGGCCAAATTCAGTTAAATATATATCTATATATATGGTAAATATATAGCAACATTGCTCGCATCGCTGCACAATTAAAAGCTGTCAAAATTTCACTTTACCAAACCAACCCCCCCATCCACTCTTACACCCCCATTACCCGATTTTGCTTTGTTTTCCGCCATTATCATCAACGCCCATTGCCTTTTGATTGTCTTTGCATTTGCACAATTCAGCGCCAATTTTAAAATCATTTTCACACACGACTGCATCCCACCTCGGCCCGGAAATGTTTACGGCCAAAGAAGAAATCAACGCCCACGCACCCGCACTGCAGAGCACAGAGAGCAATACTACGATATAATACGATAATAATGAAGTTTTTCAGGGGGTATACTCTCTATATATATGTAGTCCGGAATTTCCCCATCCGATTTCGATAGGCACGAAGCGTGTTTGTTTATCTGCTGAGCGGGGCAGCCAATGCAAATTCAGCCGCGAATACAAATAGAAATGAAATAAAATAAATTCAGGCCTTGCATGGCTGCTTAATTGCGCGCAACTTTCAGCGGCTAAATTAAACGTAAAGATTGCAATTGTGCAATTGCGATGGGGCGATGCCAAAAAATTGCAAATATCACATATATCTCGACTGTAAAAGCACTCAGCGCACTAATAAGATAACAATTTATTTATGTTTACTTGCAGATAAAAAACAAACAAGAAAAGCCATTGAACGAGAACTGCCAGCCGAGACACTGAGATTAAACAGGTGAGATAATGCGGCAAATATCTCAATATTCTGCACGTATTTGCATGGCTCATCGAGTCAAATTTAATCTGTTTTATTGTATTTGCTCTTTTGAGAGACTCTTTCGTTGGGTGTTTGGCCATTTTGTGTGCCGCACTCAAACAGTTTTGGATTTGCAATCAAATATTTATTTATTCCTTCCGTTTGAGAGACAAACTGGATCAATAGTTGCTCAGCGAACTAGTTTGACAGCCTTGCATTTTTTGTTGTGTTTTTGATAGTTTTTAACTATAAATATAGTTTTTAACTGTAAATATACAAATATAAATTTCTTTAGGAAACAATAAAAAGTAGTTCAAAGATTTTTAAATTAAATTAAAATAATTTTGGAAAAATGCTAAATGATTTTCTAAACTAATAGTAATATTTATATGACAATTAACTTGGTTATATTTTTTAATGGTACCTATGTTTTGTCATTAACTTAAACCGGATATAAATATCTCAAAGAGGTGGCTACATTTTGTGGTATGCGATGTCCATTTGTTTCATTGCAATGTCAGCTGGTATCCTCTACCGATTGCCTTGACTTTCTTTAATTAAACTCATTAACCGTGGCCCAAAGAACTCCACTCCACTTGTCTTGACCAAACACACAACGCGTATTTGAAGTGCGTGGCGGCAACCTCGAAAGTTTGCGATGCGGTCAGCGAAGAAACGTTGTGCTTTGCCCACACAAATAATTATCGCTTAATAGTCAAACCTTTTTTGGAGGGGGGCGGTGGTTTGATAGAGCGGATACCGCAAGGCCAATCAAAGCGTCATTGAAACGGAAACGGAAACTGCAAGTCAAATGGCAGTCGGCCACAGGAAATGAGGCGCACAAGTGCCGCAAATGGAAGAGTGCGAAGATGGAGACCGCATTCTCCAATCGGCGACCGCAAATTAACGCGAGTATTCCAGCGACCCGCACTTCTGGAATCGGCACTTCTTTGACTATGATTCTGATTATGAATCTGATGAATTATTAAACGAGTGTCCGATGCAGAAGCTTCGGCATCGCAATCATCTTGTTCTCGAGTGACCAAGGCAACGTTTGTCAACGTCTGCGGTTTCGGGTTTTCGTCTTTTTTTTGTATTTTGGCCCTGCCTGAATAAGCGCTCAAATGAACACCGCAATGAATGTGCGCCGCATGACAAATACGTAAAGTTTCTTTTGAAATTAAGCAGCATTTGCTGCCAATTCTTAACTACATCAGCGCAGCGCAAACTTTGTCCTCTCACCCCCACTGACGATGCCGAGTAGTTTTTCCTTTGGCTTCCTTTCCGTTGGTTAGTTTTTACTGGGCGACGATGGCACACGAAAAAACTGGACATCACTTATAAACAGGGTTTCAAAATTAATATCTTGTAGATGTATTTTATACATTTAATAATTACTATGAAGTGTTACCAATAGTTTAGGCACTAATACAAATCAATTTATTTAAGATATTACTTGAAAATAAATATATTTTATAAAATATCTAATAACAATTATAATTAAATTCGCTAAGTATTTGTTGACAATTTATCAATTTCAGAATATGAATAAGTTATTATCTTAGAATGGCCATTATAAAATATTTTTACTTTGTTTGCTTAAATTGCTACCACTCTAAATTAAAACAAAATATTTTATTAATGAGCATATGTTCCCAAAAACATTTTTTATACATTTATTTTCAACTGAAAAGTAAAGAAGTAGATGAGAAAATTCACAGAAAATATAGGGTTTTTTTTTTGTGTAACCCGAAGCCAAGAGGAGCTTGCTCATTTCAAACTTTTGACACAGAAACTAATTTTGGCAAGCGGGCTTCAGTCAGCCAACCGAGACGACGACGCCGGAGAAGGAGTCGCATTCGGAGATGGAGAAGAAAACCCAGAAAGCTGCAAGCGTCTCTGGATTTTCCGACTAACCAAACCAAGCGCCTCACCCATATTCCCGTTGCCATTCCTTTTCCTTTTGGTGGCTTTTCATTCTTTTAGTGATTGCAATATTTCATTGCCTTTGCGGTTCGTGTGTTGCATACTTTTGAGCGATGTCGCTGAGGTTTGCCTTAATTAATTGCCACCACACTAACCCACTCACCCACTCTCGAGTTCCATTTTTAATCCGCAGAATTCAGCAGCTGCATTTTTCGCATGTGCCTTGCATCCCGAATGCCGCCGCATTTGACTTTGAATGGCGCTTTAATTGTCATTTGATGTGATTTATACCGAATGCTAGGGAGCCGCAAATTAACGCTTAGCTGGCACTTCCACTGGCTGTCAAATCAAACGCGCAGCCCCGTCAGTTGATTTATGACATTTTGATTAGGCGATAAGTGTCGAGAGTGTTGCATTTGTGTCTCCATCCCAATGTTGTGACACTGACTACTCACTTCTCACTGGGTTATAGCCCGAAATCCCAGCAAGTTGAGCAAGGCTTTAAGCACTCAGCTGCTGCTGCTGCTGCTGCTGCTGCTGCATTCAATTCAATTTGCTTTGGGCCCAACTCATCGGCAAATCCAGCCTGTCTGTGGGGCCAGAGCAGAGCTCACCTTAATATGTTTCAATTTCATTGTGCACTCAGTAGCAAAGCCTCTGACTTGGCCAGAACCCCAAGCTGAAGCTGAAGCACACTTGTGCATAGGATATGTGCAGCCAGATGGAGAGGAAAATTTGTACAAATATCCCTGGAAAATAAGCCATTAAACGAGGCCAGAAAGTGGGCATTGAATGTTTGCCCATCATAAATTGACCGAAAATTGCCTGCAAATTGCACGGTAAGAAAAGAGTCCAAAATGACGTTAGAAGGCAATTGACAAAGATTTACTTAAGAAAGATTAATGCCATTTTGACATTTTAAAGGAAAATTTGTTATTAAATTCTACTTAAATGTAGTACTCTGTATGGTATCAAAAAATTGTATAAAAAACAAACATTTTTGGCATTTTTAATAACTTTACAACTTCAATGTTAAATTTGTAACTAATTAAAAAACCAAGTTTTTATATTTTATTTATTGAATTTTATTTGTTCTATAACATATTTATTTGTTTCCTTTTACTAATTAACAAAGTCTAGATTTTTAAATACTTGAAAGAAACAAATCAGTTTTATTTCATTCCATTTTTTTTCAATGAACCTTTATTATCTGGGTAACTTACAGTGCTTTGCTGGCCATTTCCCCACTCTCCTTTTTCGTGTTTATGCTGTTCCGTGTCAATTACACGGCTAAAATGTTCACACCTTTCGTTAATAATGCAGCTGCGAAATGGAGATGCATCCAGCAGATATAGATGGAAATACAGCCGTAGATACAATATCTGGATGGGATGGCCAAGCCAAGAAAAGTGCGCCAAAGAGCTCAAGCTGATTGCATTTCATTTTCAATTTAACTTACTTTTATTTCGAACTGCTGCTTTCGCCGTTCGAGCTGCCGGTCTTTGCAATTACCATCGGAGGGCAGACAACAGTTGGAATTACATTTTCAATATTTCCCAGCAGCAGCAGTAGCAGCAGGCAGCAAACAGCAACAGCAAAAACACTAGCATCAGCTTCATTTTTTCATTCGCTTGGCCCTTTTCCCTAGATTCTTGGGCACCATGGCCATAAATTTTTAACTACAAGCTCTTGAATGCAATTACTTTTCAATCTTTTTTTTTATATTCCGCCAGCCCCTTCTTGTCTAGTCTGGCACTTCGTCCAATGTCTATATATGTTCTATAGTTGAACGCGAAAATTGCTTATTTCAACATTCAACTTTGAAAAGTTTCGTTTCGTCTCGTTACGTTTTAAGAAAAAAACAAAAATGAAGAGTAAAAGTTTGCCATAATTCTGCCAGAGGTCTATCACTTACCACCCCAATTTTTCCACCTCTCTCCGGTTGTCTCTACTGATTACTTTTATTTTTGTTGCCGCGTATTTATTTAAGCGCACAAAAAGTAGGTTGAACTTTGTGTTATTTGATCAGGAAGTTGACATGATGGTTTATGCAAAGGCACAAAAAATGTGGAAAATATGAGAAAGTTGCCCTGAAATCTAGGCGACATTTTCCATTCCATTTTGCTCCTGAGTGCACTTTGCACTATTTGCTGCCCTTTCCACTGACAAGGCAGTTATGAAACTTGATCTCGGCGATTTTGAATGACTGGCAAAGTAAAGTCATTCTCTCTACACAAATAATGAATAATGTAGAGCGGTGGAATAGCTGAATAAGTTGGGGTAATTTTAAAGTAGTAACAGATAGGACAAAATTTGTTTATCCTTTTGATAAAATTTATTTTTGATTAAAGCCACAAGTCACAAAATAATTTTAGTAATGTCTAAATTAATATTAATAAAACATTAAATAACTATTAAATCCAATCTTTGTTACCTATTAGATAAACATGATTTATAAAAAAATTAAATAGATATTAAATAAGTAATAAATAAATACAATACAAATATTTAATAAGTATATTTCAGAGAATATAAATTTAAAGAAAGGGCTTTTTAATTTTCCGGTAATTTTTCTCAGTACTGGATGTCATTATGCATATCGATCAGCGAGCTGTCTGCCATATTTCCTGAGAGATCATTAATGAATCGCAAAAGGCGTCGTAGCAGCTGTCTCCGCTCGCTAATCCTGCCCCGGCAGTTATCCTTCGCTGCAGTTCACCCTTTTTCGCTGCAGCGACAGGAAAATGCACGTTCATCCGGCAGCCGCTTGCAAATATTATAGTTTCAGCTGCTTGGGAAAATACGTTGTGTAATGTCACTTAATCTTTTTATACGCGCCAGTTGAGATATATATTTTTTGTTGTAAATTGCAAAAGGGGCCAGGGGGCGGCCGCGTGGGCGGATTAGTGGAACGGATTAAGAATGAAAGTGTTTGCAAAATACTAAAACTTTACGACCGGCAGCAGATTAAGAATGAATTGTTTTTTATTACGCCACCCGAAAAACGGGCGCATAAGTCAAAAATGTAGGTAAGGTCGCAGGTACGAAGGTTGAGGATCCCAAAAAAGTCGGGATCACAAGAGGTCAGGTAAACACAGGCAGCAGAATGTTCCGGGTGTATAAAAAGCACTGTGGGTGGTGGAAGTGACATCAATCGATCTGCAAACGTTGAGCAAGCAACATCGGATTATATTATTCGGAACTGCGAGGTTTTTGAAAGAAATAAAATAAAAGTTAAATTTTCAAAAAAATCAAGCAAAAATGCCCCGCTACCAGAAACTTATCAACGAAAGCGACAGCAACGCAGCAGCAGCAACTGTTGCCCAGCAACAGCAGCAACATCATCGCTATCAGCAGCAGCAACACAAGATGCCGAGCGTGGGCTATCACCTCTACTTGTACCGCCAGCAACTCGCTCAGAAGAATGTGGAATACATGAGGTTGTCCAAGGCAAAGTACTTCATTACCGACACTCTTCTGGCCAAAACGGTGCGGAATCTGAAGGGATGCAGCGTCGACGAACTGAAGACCGTTAATCATCAGATCGTCTTTCGGCACAAACTGCGTCATCAGATCCAGCGACTTCGTAAACTGAAGAGTTTGGGCATCAAAAATGCCAATCCCAAAATGGAGAGCACAGAACTGTGAGAAGAAGAAGAGGCTAAAGGATCCAGATCTTCAAGAGCAAAAAGGATTTCTAAAACTATGATTAAGGCCTAGTTTAAAAGAAAAATCAACCTTTGCCTACGAAATATGGAAATCTCTTTGTAATTTAGAGAGATCTAAAATATTTAAAAGTTTTTGAAACATACTTTATCATTAGTTTAAGTGGCGGGCACTGCATAAATTTATAAATGTTAAGCTAAGAACTTTATAGTTTACAAAACATATTAATAAATACATATTATAATATTAAAATACGAATATTTGGACTGGTTTCGGGAACAAATTTTTTGGTGTAAGGACTCTGCAAAAAATAATCAATATTTTTTATAGATTTTGTAACTATAATTATTATCAATCCCCCAAACTATCCTAAAAAATAACATTCTTTAGAGATTTTCAAAACCATTAGTCAAATAAAACTAATAAAATGACCTCTGCAAGCTAATAAATTGGAATAATTAAATAACCAAACACAATTAATATAATTAAAATATGCACGACACTCAGAATTAGTTATATACCATTTTATGAAATAAAATCCTTAATATTAATAATTATAATAATAATAATCTAAATGTAAAGGCGAAGCATACCAATCGTTTTCGTTTTGATTTATAATCTTTTTAATCTCTGTTGTAACATTTCGTCCTTTTCGGGTCCATTATTTTGACTACAGTTGTAAATATTATTTTTGGCAATACGTCGGCTGTCACAATTCCTCTTGCCTGTTGCCGCCTTGTCAAACTTGGACAACTTAGACAGCGACTTGGGTGTGGACAGAAAGAACCTCAAATGTAACTATCAACTGAGGCCAATTTGTGGCAGCCACTAATTGAGTTCTGTGTGCAGCATCTTGACACGTGTCAAGACAAATCATCTTAGCTTTTCGGCATTTATCTCCTGATGACCGCAGGTCTTCAGGGACTTATGAGCCTTTTTTGGAGAGCAATGAACCAAAAATCGATTGGCAAACGCATTTTTTATACCAGACGCGTTTGAATGATTGGGGACGTTTTTGGGGCAGCTTTTTTAATTTTTAATTGGAAAATAATATTCACAAAGTGCTTTACACTTAACTGAACACCAACATCATTATTTTCACTCAAATAATATTAATAAATGCGCCTGACCCCCGTCGCTATGCCCGGCGTAATAAATAAATGGCGCACATAATGCGGCCAGTAAGTCAATTTTATTATTGAAATGAGTTGCGATGTTCAAACAGAAACCTCAGCCAAAGTGAATGTGAGTGTTAACAATTAAAGCAGACACACTCACTCACACATTAACATCGGGGGTGTTGTTTTACATATGCTCGCAATTATGCAGTCTGTTCTGTGGGCGATGCAATTTGCAAACACTCAAAAGTAGGCTGTGAAAAATGTCGCACGCACATTAAATTTTCCACACAATCAATTTTCGTGGCAAAAGAGGCACTTTTCCCATATGTTAATTTCTATAAAATATATATTCTCGAATGTTTAATCGCCGCCACATCCCGTCGAACTCTCGAAATTTAAATCAATTCCGCCATCTTGTGAGGCATAAATATTAAAACTTAAATAAATACTTAAAGCGACAGGCAGTCGATTAGTGCGCTTCATTATGAGCATCGTTTTCATTATGTTTATTATGAGCTTACCCACGGGTGCGAGGGCCCGCCCACTTTTCCAACCCACTTTTCCAACCAAGGAAACGGTCTCGAGTTAATGCAATAAATAAAATTTCAACTGCACCGTCGGGCATGTTTAGCCGCATGAAAAGCGACAGTAAGCTGGGCCTGCATAAGAAGTTGCCTGTTTATCTTGGCCCGGTCCTTGCCTTTTGTTTATCCCGGTGTTCGGGTAGAGGTCCTGGTGACCCAGCCCCAGCCACACAACAACTGTCCCTAGTCCCGCTTTTTTCCAAGACCCTTGCTCATCTGTTACACAGTAATAAATAGGACACAATAAAAAAAGTGGAGTTTTTATTTGAATTATATCTAAAAATCTAGTGCTAACCAATTCGGATATAAAAATAAATAGTGAAAGCAAATAAGTTAATAGAACATTAGCGAATGATTAAAAATGTTATGTACATATTTATTTATAATAATTTCATTTATTAACATTTTCAATTTTTATTTCATGGTCAGTTTTAGATTGATTATAATAATTTTTTTTAAAAAATAAAGTTATAAAGGAAATTTTTGTGTTGTTTCGTCTTAATTCTCTTAAGTAAGATGCCATATCTAAAAGATCGACTTTACCCAGCTATTAACCTAAGCTAAAGTTCCACATTATTTGGGGCAAGATTAAGCGAAAAAAAAATTTTCGCTAATTTTTTATTTTTTATACGGGGTACGTACCATCATGATTTTTTTCAAAAAATGTCTAAAAATTAAAGTTTTTATGTTTGAATGTCATTCGATTGGTAATTCAATGACGAGCTCATCGCGGTATGACATTCCATACTTGGACACTCTGTTGCTTTGTTCCGGCCAAAATACTGATTTTTTTAGAGGAAAATTAGGATAAAGGATTTATTTGAAAAATAGGCATTTTAAACGATATTATTATCGTAGATTACGGGCCCCGAGCGTTTTTTTCTACATAATATTATTTTAAACTAAAAAAAATAAATTAAATGACAAGTTATATTAGATTAAAAAATTAAATTCTATGATTGATTGTGTGATTCAAATATTGAATTACCATCAAAAATATTGTGATTTGTTTAAAAGATTTATTTCTTACGTTTAAACTGGATTAAATAAATTGATTAATGCGTTTTGGTCAGTATATTTACCCACTGTGTATTTACCCTGTCACTAAATGGCTGTTTTCTTTCAAAAAGTTGCCTTCTGTGCTGGCCTCGTTGTTGGTTGTAGCTTTGGCTTTGGCCCGAGCCCGTTTGGTTAGCCTGGTCGCTTGGCTGCCTGCTTGGCCAACTGCCCTAATGAGTTTACAAAAAGTTTTGCTTTAGCAAAATGCGCAGTAGGAGTGGCGAGCGAGGAGTTGGCAGGAACTGCCCAGCATGTTATACAAATTGCAGGGGGACCCTGGACAAAACTGTCATCAACGTGTCGTCCTCTTCTGCAGCGGTTGCAAGAGGTTGGAGGATGGAGAATGGTGAATCCTAGCCTAGCTACCATTTGTTTACCTATCCCATTTGCACTGGCATGTTGCATTGTTGCCTGTTACTTGGCGACCAAGCGAAAGTTTTCGCATTTATGTTGCCTGTGTAGTTGCCAAAGTTCCCTGGCAGAATATGCATTTTAATTAGTTTAGCAAAGTTTAGCAACGCAACTCCAACCAGCCAGCCAGACAGTCTCCGTTTTGCGTCTGCTGGTTAATTGCGCAAATTTAATGGCTGCCCCTGCATCTGCATTTAAAGGCCAAGGAAACCCCCTCTTACATGCAAAAGTTTGCCTACTGCCTACGCACAGCCTGCAGCCTACAAGCAAATGTACCACAAAAGTTGTTAACATTTCACATTTCACTAAGTAGCAAATTCAATTAGTTTGTTGTCATCATCGCATCGCAAAACCATGTGTACATTTTAGTAAATTACTTTAAGGACCCCGAAAAGTTGCTGGGGCTTTGCAATTTATGCCTGTCGTAATTTACTTAACTGTCTGGCGCATAAATTAATTTGTCTAAGCATAAATCTGCCGACTATTGTGGCCGATGCGAAACGAGGCTGCAACTGATGGCAGCCGGAAGGATACCTCATTAGGTTTTTCAATAAATTTAATTCAATATAAATAGAGTGCCGGAGCTCAGACGCTGCCAGTCAGCCGTCTGCCGTCAGCCACTTCATCTTCGTCTTCGAATCGCATCCGTCGGGTTCTTTTGGCAACCGCCCGTGGCAGCAACTGCAGTGGGGCAGCAGGAGCAGCAGAAGCAGGAAGCAGCATCAAAGTTGCACACGTCGCCTTCGGAGAGGACTTAAAGCAGCTGATGCCGCCGCTCCTGCTCCTCATGCTACTCATGCTACTCCATCTCTTGTGCAGGATGAAGCTGCTGTTTCCACTACAACGCTTGCCTGGCAAAAATTCCTAAGGCTATTCACTCACAAAAAAAGTTTTAAATAAAAAAATCTTAAAAAGGAAAGAATAGGTTCTTTTATTGATAAAAATGATTTATGAACTTTAAAAAAACATTTTTACATTTTAATAAAAAGTGAAGGATTTGTCTATTATTGATAAAAATTATTTATGAAGATTTTGGTTTGATTACAATTTTTTTTCGAATATATTAAGAGATGCTAATATTTTTTTTTTTTTAGTACTAACAAATAAACATAAATCGCATTCAAATGGCATATTAATATCATTAAAAAAAATGAAACGATTAACCATTTAAAAATCACTAAAATTGAGAATATTTATGGCCACAAATTGAAAGAAAAAAAAATGTTCAAAAAATGAGTATACATTTGCATTCAATTGTGTTGTTCGTGTGAAAAATAAAATTTTGACCTAAAAACAAAAACAAATAGTGCATTATCATATAAAACATGTCGCGTTAAATATACAAAAGATATGTCAAGTCTTTCAGTGATAAAAATCAAAAACGATGCTATGTGTTTTGATTTATTTTCTTAAGTAATTTATTAAACCTATTAATAATAGTAATATTATTGTAAATCTAATATGGTTTGGATTAAAAATTTGTATCAGTGCTTCTGTGCTTTTCCCCACCTCATTGCTGATCCTTTTCGAGGACCGCCAGCCCCAGACTCCCCCTACTATTTTATGTTTCCCAGCCTGAGCCGAGCTTAGCCGAGCGTTTGCAACGCGTAAATTTGGCGCTCCAAAGCGGTGATTATGTCGTCGTCGTCTGGTTCTTCTGCACATTTTCCCCCAAGACTGAAGCCCCTCGTCCTTCTTTTTACCCCATTTTCTTGGCCAATTTTTCCAGCTGGCGCCGGCGACGACGTCATCACTTGAATAAATTAAGTTGCTGGCAAACAGCTAAATGAAATTGTTAATTTAGAGCTGCGCACAACGGAGCGTATGCTTGATGTGTCTGCGTTACCTGAGAAACCAGAGTTTCTGGATGTCCGGAGTCCGCTAAGCCGCTTATGGCATCATGATCCCAATCCAACGGGCAGCATATGCTCACATCAATGGTAGAGCACACTGTACTGTATACATATTCCCTGAGCTCATCGCTGAGCTCCTTTATTTCGCATCTGCAGTTTAATTGCATTTTAAATGTTCCTGCAGCTGCAAATGGGCAAATGATTACGGGAATTTATATTAAACTTTAACCCTCAGTCACTTAATTAGCCCGGCTTTTCCTTCGACTTTGACTTCAGTTTCTGCAGTTTCGATTGGGCGTTAACTACTTTTTCATATGACCATCAATCTGCGGCATTGGCCAAGTTTCGTGGGTGGTTTTCCAGTAACCGACACCTAGCTACCAAAGGGCCAAGACAATAACAAAATCGAAAAGAAAAATCGAAAAAAGGAAAACGTAAATGAAAATGAAAACTTTGTGCAGCTAGAAGAGAGAGCGAGTCAACTTGGAAATATATTGAAAAATGCACTAGTTGGTTTTTTTTCTCACAAACTTTTGTGCAACTTGGCTGCGTCTGTCCTTTTGGCCCCTTTTTCCCTTTGCCTTTGCCTAAACTGACGTAAATTTATAATGACAAATTGCATTTGGCGCAAATGCGGCGAATAAAAAATAAAGTAGAAACGTGGGCGAAACGATTCTCATCCAACAGTCGTGGCCAATTGAGCGTGAAAAATTATGAAGCTGGAAAGAAAACGGATTAGAGCAAAGCCAGCCAGCCATCCAACCAGTGAGAGACAATCAAAGTGCTTAATTACAGCTTAAATCCGCTTAAATGCAAATTCTTCACTCTGATTGCTGATTATGCCGAGTGAGAAATGAATGCCACAGGTAAAGAAGTCGCGGACAAAAGTGAAAGACTTTCACAAAACTATTGAACAAAAAGGGAGGAATCAATAGAATGAAGATAAACTTTGAAACGAGATGAAATAAAGAAAGTAAATTCAACCATCTGCAGTTCCTTTATATGGGCGGTTCTTTTACAAACCGAACACCTTTTATTGGCTCACATTTTTGATTTGCCTGAAACTTTTTTTACACGTACTATTCGGAAAATAAGTAAACACGTGTATCAGGATTTGACCGAAAAAAAATTATTTTCCTAGTTAGAATTTTTTTAAGTGTGCCAAAAATTGTCAAATTTGAAAAAGTACCCTCTCATTGAAAATCTGTATCTCCGGTTATATGAATCCAATTGACTTCATGTCTTTTGCATTAATTCCTCTAAAACCTCTCCTTTCAAAATAAAATTTTAAAAAAACATTTTTTTTTAATTTCTTAAAAATAAAAACAAATTAAGATTTAAAAAAATTTTTAACTATTGCCCCCACAAAAAAAATTTATTTTTTTTTATTTTTTATTTTTTACTTGCGCCATATTGTTAGTTACAATCGGTTTTTGTAAAAGTTGGAGCCCCTTTTAGTTTTTAAAATATCGAATTTGTTTTAGCAAGGCCTCGGCTTTTTCTATGAAAAAACGTCGCAGCATGTAGATCTACTCTCTCACTCTTATCGGATCCTAATGGAATTTATGTTTTCTCATTGTTTACTAGTCCTTTAACAATTGTTAATGATTAAAAGTTAAGTTTTAAGTTTTTTGACAATTTCTGAATGACAAAAAGTAAAAAGTCATTTTTTAATCAATTAAAAACTTACAACTATTTATTTAACCGTCTATTTAATAAACAATAATTTTAAATTTATTTTATTTATTATTTTTTTATATTATGTAATTTATTAAACATTTTTAAATATTTTTTTTTAAGTTTTTAAAAAAAATTATTTAATAAAAATAAAAAATTATAAAATTTAATTAATTTTTTTTAAATTTAAAAAATAAATATTTAAAAATGTTTAATAAATTACATAATATAAAAAAATAATAAATAAAATTAATTTTAAAATTATTGTTTATTAAATAGACGGTTAAATAAATAGTTGTAAGTTTTTAATTGATTAAAAAATGACTTTTTACTTTTTGTCATTCAGAAATTGTCAAAAAACTTAAAACTTAACTTTTAATCATTAACAATTGTTAAAGGACTAGTAAACAATGAGAAAACATAAATTCCATTAGGATCCGATAAGAGTGAGAGAGTAGATCTACTTGCTGCGACGTTTTTTCATAGAAAAAAGCCGAGGCCTTGCTAAAACAAATTCGATATTTTAAAAACTAAAAGTGGCTCCAACTTTTACAAAAACCGATTGTAACTAACAATATGGCGCAAGTATTAAAATAAAAAAAATTTTTTTTTGTGGGGGCAATAGTTAAAAATTTTTTTTAAATCTTAATTTGTTTTTATTTTTAAGAAATTAAAAAAAAATTTTTTTTTAATTTTATTTTGAAAGGAGAGGTTTTAGAGGAATTAATGCAAAAGACATGAAGTTAATTGGATTCATATAACCGGAGATACAGATTTTCAATGAGAGGGTACTTTTTCAAATTTGACAATTTTTGGCACACTTAAAAAATTCTAACTAGGAAAATAATTTTTTTTCGGTCAAATCCTGATACACGTGTTTACTTATTTTCCGAATAGTACGTGTAAAAAAAGTTTCAGGTAAATCAAAAATGTGAAATTTTTTTTTTGCCCAAATCTGTTCGGTTTGTAAAAGAACGGCCCATATACTTTGAAAATGCTTATTTTTTTAGAGATTATAGTTGAAGCTGGGCATATTTACATTATAACATTAAATAAATGACAGCAAACGCAACAAAGAAAATACAAAATTAAAATCGATTTCTAAAAAATATTAGCAAGGTAATTTTATCAAATGTTATCTTATAATAAGGAATAAAATAAAAAAGAGTTTAAGAAAATTAAATCTGTGGAATTTTGTAACCTTAAATGAAAAGCCAAATAAATATTTAGGAAATATGACCACTGCAAGATTTCTCTTTTCTATTGTGAAATTTTTCAACCAAAATCTAGTGAGCTTAGTTGTCACTTCACAGCTGATATTTATTTATTTATTTGGACATTACCAACTAGATATGTATAACTGCTATAGAACTGGTTACACCCTGCGTGTAGCCAATATTAGCAGGAAGTGAAACTGGCTTTAAAACATATTTGCAATATGGAAAATACCCAACCTGAAATCATCCGTCAAACCGGCAACAAACAAAAGCGGCTTAAATTTCACGGGAGCTCTGTCCATGTTGCTGTTGTTCCCGTTCATGTTGCTACATTGTTGTCGTGTTGCTGTTGGGGTCATGGGTCGTACTCCACCCATACTTTGCTTGGGCGCCACCGCGTCAGGCGATAAAGCAAAAAATGACACGTTTTTAATTTTATTTCACACCTACACAAGGACACCGCCTGCCATGTAATCAAAACTGCAAGAGAGCAACAGTCACAACAGCACAACGAAACACGAGCAACGGACAACGGACAACAACTGCTGCTGGTGACAACAATGCAACTACTAACTGAAAGGCAAGGCGTTGGTAGAGAAAAATTAGATTTATCACGAGTGGTTGCCGGAAAAATTGTCAACATTTATCAACATTTTTCAAAGGGCACGCGGACGTGTTTTCTCCTACTGCTGCCGCAGCTGCTGGCCAAGAAACCGAAAAACACACAGAGAACAACAATAAGAATAAGAAAGTCTGGCCAAACACTAAGCCGGGCTCCAAGTCCAAGCCTCCGAAACTGTGCCAACACCTCTCGCGTGGGAGTTCGCCTCGCATTTTGATTAATATCCACTTGCAGGATGCAGCAGCAGCGGCACTAGAAGGAGCAACATCATCACGAAACTGGCCAACAGAAAGAGCAACAATCGTTGCAGCGATTGCAATAAGACAGCAACAAAAATAAAACAAGAAAGCCGGAAAAGATTCTGGCCCGTCTTCCAGTTGCCCCACTGATTGTGAAAAGTGGTCACGATGATGACAAAAATTCACTGCGGCACTGATAAATAAGATGTAGTAAATTTTTATGTAATTTTTTTTTAATCACTAAAATATTTAACAATGTATTCAATATTTATTTCCTTTGTTCTTGCGGATTTTATTAATTTAAAATTTGAAAATATTTAACAAATTTTTATGATTTTAAATAATTTAAGTAAACATGTCTAGCATGTTGTCTAATATTTTCTTCCTTGATTAAAATATTTATAAATCAATTCATGCAAATAAATATGTTTCATATTTAATATTAATTTTTTTATTTAATTTAAATATGTAATAGGAATTTGGATTTCCTTTTGCAGATATTCATTTTTAATTTGCCATTTTTTCTTTTTGTGTGGCGAAATGAAAACAAAGTTGCCCGCTTTTCAAGCAGTGTGTAGGTGCTACCAAACAAGGAACTCTCTCTTCACTCCAGTGAAAGCAGCCTGAAAAGAACTTTCCCAAAAAAACCCAAAAAAAAAAAAAAAGAGTGGCAGAGCCTTGAATGCGGTTTATTTTCTTTTGGCTGGTTTATTCGATTTGGCAGCCAAGGAGTAGGAATGAGCTAGAGAATTGTGAGAAATTGCCGGGGATTTGTGTGTGGCAAATTGAGTTTCGAGCATTGATGCGATTGAAGGTGAAAAGACAGCAGCTGGATGGTAAAGTGAGCCCAGTAAAATTATAATCATTTAGGGCGAAATTAATTATGGTAAACATGAAATATTTTGCGGATCAATTTCCTGGCTAATCCTGGGCCATTTTTTGCTTTTTGAATTCTCAAAACTCAAAAGCGAAACACAAACATTAGATTAAAGCCCTAACTGTGGGCCACGGCCACTACTCCTTTTTCCCCTGCCTGCACATAATCGCATTTTAAACTTTTTCAATAATAAAACTTTTCTAAACGGATTTCCCGCTGGACGCGTTGCGCTTTAATAATTTTTTCCGCCTTTTTTATCTTTTTCATTCCAGGCAGCAGGCGGTTGGTTTTCAGCTGATGAGCAACAAAGGACAGAGTGCATCGGAGCCATTAATTTAAATTGGGTATTATGAGCGCACTAGCAACAAGGACAGAAAGGTTGGTTGTGATTTAAGAAAGATGTATAGAAAAAGGGCTAAAAATCATGTAAATAAGTTTTCTAATTGAATTTTCATCAATGATTTTTTATTTCAAATATCAATGATTTTTTACTTATCTTATTTATTTTAATTAATAAAAGATATATATTAGGTTTCTAAGGTAAGGTAGTTAAGGTGAGAATTTTATTTACTCAAATCATTTTATTTAATAAATTTATATTATTGATATACAACTTAAGAAGAAATTTAAAGCTTACATAAAATAAAGTGTTTATATTTTCTATTACCTTAGAGAGAATCACAATTATTAAAAATTAAAGAGCAGCTTTTAAAATTACTTCCCCAGACAAACATAAAAATCTTCAAGGATAAACGTGATACCATAAAAATAGCAATAAAAATCATAGCACAATATTCTTTTTTCTTACAAATATATTTGTTACACCCTTTCCCGTAATACTAACCTTTCTCTTTCCAATGCAGCTCATGTACGACAAGTCCAAGAAATCGTGGAGTCAGCGGCTCAAGACGCTCGGCAGCGGTGACAGCGTCGCGGACAACAAGAACGCTTCTCTAGCCGCCGTCAGCGGCATGCAGGCCATGCAGCAGTTGCAGCTGCACATGCAGCAGCAGCACCAGCAGCTGCAGCAGCAACACCAGCAACAGATGCAACAGCAGCAGCAACACTTGGCCCACCACGGCCACCATGGAGGACACATGGTGACCGCCTATCAACTGCCACCGGTTCCCGCCGCCGAATTCCTGCCCAGCGCCCTCTCACGTTCGATGAAGTACGCCGAGCCCTGGATTTACGGCACGGTGAGGGGTATTCCCTCCCGTCCCTCCTACGGGGGTTATCATCCCCATGCGGCGGCCCTATTCGCGGCCACCGAGGGACATCCGGGCACGGGCACCACCGCTTTGGCCGTGGTGATCTGCTCCTGTGCGGAGTATCTGAATGGCACGAAACGCGATGTCAAGAAGGCCAGCGTGTGCAAGAAGTGCAAGGGGTCGCGTTTACCCCTCACTACCATTGGCGGCGGCTCGGGGGGCACAGTGCGTCTGCCAGCTGTCAGCCAGTCGCATCTGCGACCCATTTCGGCCACCATGCGAGTGGTGAGTGCGTCGAAGAAGGCACGTCCCTCGATTTTGGATCCGCAGAAGGATCCCTACGACCTGATGCGACGCACCAGGCTGCTTTCCCCGGAGCCGAGCAACAAGGACGGGGACTCCAAGTCACGTAGTCGCGGGGGGGAGAATCAGCAGAGGGGTCGCACTCGCACCAGGGCTCCACCGCCTCCTCCAACCCAGGCACTCACCAATCAGAAATCTCAGGGGGTTCAGGGAGTTCCCGATCCCTCAGACTGCTGGCTCATGGAGGACAATGAATCTCTGCTCCAGAGTAGCGGTTTGAGTAGCTCTCGCGCCTCCAGTCGGCGCTCCATACTCCGCTGCCACGTCAATCCCTATGACCTGATCTCAAGCGAAGGCGGTAAGCTGCAGAACCACTTCGAGGTGGAGGATACTAAGCAAATGGAGCGCAAGATGAGCAGCACCAGCAGCCAGAGGAGCATCTACAGCGGCAATGTGACCGCCATTGCCGGCCAGCGTATTAGTTTGGGCGATAAATCCAGCGATAGCCAGACCGATTCAGGTGACAGCTACGAGCGCATTATTATAGTTTCTGGAGGGGAAAATCCATCAAATGGACCGCGACGACCGCCGCGCAATAAAAAAGCGGATGAGCCAGCGGAAATTCAGACCGTTGTTCCAGCAGTCAAGCCCAAGTTGGAGATACCCATTGAAAAGGTGGATAAGGAGGAGAAGAGAGGGGATTCCTCCTATACAGTGCTCACTGTAACGCCCACCTCTCCAGCCATCAAGTCCATACTGAAGCGCCCCACGACTCTCGAGTTGGGAATATCTCCTTCATCGCCTGCACTTCCTGCGACTCTCGACAATTCTGGATTGGCGACGACGCCTGCGGGCAAGTCACAGTTCTATATACCAACGCCAACGGGGACGGCAGCTGCCACGCCCACACCCTCGGGCAGTACGCCCATGGCCACATCAACACCTACAACCAATGCGAATACTTCCACTGCAGCAGCAGCAACAGCAACAACAGCAACTGCGACAGCAGCAATCACGCCGGGTTCACGCAAAAAAGTGCAATTTATGGTCGAGGATAAAATCATAGCCACGACGGCGACAACTGATGACAGCGATGCCAGTGTGGCTGCAACGAAAACAAACTACGAGTACTACAATCGCAAGCGAAATGCAGCAGCAACACCAGTAGATGCAACAGCAACAGCTACAACAGCAACATCAACGGATCAGCAGGAGGCAACATCGCTGTTTGCGGCTGACATTGATGATGAGCAGCGCAACTTTACAACTTCCGCTGAGCCAACTCCGTTCATAAAGCCGGATAGTTTGCATTATGAAGATGTTCTGCCGGCCCCACAAATATTTGACAGCAGTAGCAGCGGCGATGGGTCCTCCTCCAAATTATTACTGCCAGCGGATGGGTCGCCGCATGTCACTGCGAGTCCTGTCAGCGTTTTACCATCGGGTGAGTACTCCGCTTCCGCATCCCAAATCCCGATTCTCGTCCTGCCATAAAAACAGTTGACTTTTAATTATCTGCTGTCCGTGCGGAATTTCGCAAGGCCAGCAGTTTTCCAGCCAAGTTTCATTAGTTAACTTGCGCCAGCAACACAAAGAAATATTTTATAAGTACATCTAAAACCATTTTTATTAAAAAGAAATGTCTAAATCTTAAATTTATAATTTTTTAAATTATTTATCTGAAAGATTTTATACTAGACAACTGATTTGTGAAATTTTCAATCAAATTATTCAAAAGAGTCTCAAGCTATCCAATTTGTTATGGAGAGGTGCTTAAATAATAAAGCCGGGCTACAAAATAAATGGTTAGAGATAAACATAAAAAACAAATAAGGGTTCTTATATTTTAATCCTCTGGTGCAAGAATTTATAAATATTAAAAATGTAAAACTAAATTGGGTATTTGATCTATTTTCACATAGTTAATTCATCATTCTGTCTCGTAAATTAACTAACATTTCTGATAGATTTATCTTTTCTTTATCTGTACCTTACATAAACGATGTGGTAGTTTATTCCCAAGTGCAAAATGAGACTCTCCCATTCGCTGTCTAGTATTTTATACTCCTATTTTAGCCATCTGTCTGTCATTTAAACACTCACTCACTGGACGACACTGACACAGAGTTTGTTTTCGAGTGAAAATGAAAATGAAAATGCTGGCATTGTTTGCTAATTGCTCATCATCACGGCACGGTCTACGGAGTTTGCCGTACATTGCACATTACGTATACGCAAAGTTGGCGACGGCGGCGGCGACACTTTTGCATTATACAAATTCCCTAACAAGCATGAAAACTGTTTTGGCCAGGGGTTGTGTGTTTGTGTGAGAGAGAGCCAATTGAAATGCTGACATTTGAATGGGAATATAGCGATGGAAAGGGGGAGGGGGATGTAGGGGAGAGACAAGGGGTCACACCTGGTGCAAGTTCACGCAGGGGTTAACACCATAATCAAGCATCAGACGGAGCCGCAGTCGCAGACCCTTTGACACAGTCTCCCTGTCAACGGCACACGCTCTGCCGCCCACCCACTGAAATACCCCCCACTCCACCACCCACATCACGTAGCTGAGCGGCAAACAAAACGACAGTTACAACTACAACGGAAACGACTAGCAGGCCAAGTCAACGTGACATTTGCACCCACAAATGGCAGCGACGCACGGCGATATGCCAGCGAACTATTCGCAATTCACATTCACATACATATATGCATGCTTACTCCAGGTGGAGGAGGTGGAGAAGGGGGCGTGGCACACATGTTCGACTTCATTCAAAGCAAATTAACAGCCGGCACTCGCACACACACAAGGGTTAAGCTCAAGGGGGGAGCGCACCTCATAGACAGACAAAAACTTTTCATTCAATTAAATTTTGGATGGCGGCGGAAAAACTTGTGTCCATCAGGGAATCGAGTTGGGTTCGGTTGAGTTGATCTGAACTAAAGAGCACTGAAAGTGGGTATCAGGATTCCATGGCCTACATTGGCCAACTAGGAAAAGTTATAGGTACAATTAAAGTTAAGTAAATATTCATTTTCAATATAAGCATTTTAGACCGATTTCTTAGTTATTCTAAAATATTAATTTAAATCAAAATATTAAATTATTATAAGTATGAAGGGGTTATTACCAGATTTATTAAGAACAATTATTTATTAAAATATATAAACAAGAATTAGAGAAATAGGGATCTTTAACTTTTCGCAAGAAAACATTTATTTTTTATTTTAGTATTTTTAACAAAGTTTATTTGGCTTAATTTTTTTCTATGTTTTTTTTCTTGGTTCCTAACTTTAAATATATTCCTCTTATTTCTTGGAACTATTTACCTAAGTAATATACTCTGAAAACGGCAACCTCTACCAAGACCGTGGTCTTCTTTCCATGATCGCTGAATGTCCCCATTATTTGCGAAGCTCGTATATTTCCTAAGACCCCCTGTCACCTAGGGTCTATGTCGTTGGTCCCAAAGATAAGAGTCTTTCTCTGCATCTTGGGTATTCGAGCAATGCGGCCAGACAATGACAATGCCAACGCATTTCGAATTTCGCAGGCAGCTCATAAGAGCCCAAAAGACAACCTACCTACTCCTACCACAATTGCGATGACTTCGCTTATGGCATGTCTACTGTGGCCCAAAGGAGTGGGAAGAGTAGAAGGAGCAACAGCGTCATAATGGTGACATGGTCGTGGCAATGGCGCCCACGTGTCTCCGCAAGACAATGACAAAGTTCCTCCTGCGCTGCTGGCTGCAATTTGTTGCATTGTTTGCAACCGGCGGAGTTAAAGCACTTGGAACTTTGCAAACTATTTTTGATTTGATTTTTGAAATTGGCTCGCTACGGGCGCTTAGCCGCCCACCCACCATATTCCGACCATCAGGCGACGGTCGGCCTCCCGAGATGATTTATGGCGCACGTGTTGCATTCACCGGTAGAAAAAAAATTGTAAAAAAAAAAGAGAAGGAGAAGAGTGGGTCGCCAGACGGGCCAAATCGCAGTGAAAGGCATTAAAGTGATAGAGTCTGGCCGCTCGACGGTGAAATTTGCATTTCTAATGCCCCCCGAAAACGCCAACGCGGCCAACTTTGAGTCATGACCATGGCCTGAACTCGCAGGATTATTAATATTTCATATTTGTCTGGGAGATAGGCGAAAAGTGCGACTTCCGAATGGAATTTCAATGAAAATTGTAATATTTTAAGTGGTTCAGGGAAAAGTTTATGCCTTTCGTATTAAATCAATGGGTATTTGCTGGTTAAAAAAAGAAAAAATCTACATTCAATGGATTTTTTTTAAACTTTTGCGAGAAAAAAACTTTTGCTTTTCCATTAGATAAACAAAACAATGTGGAACTCATAGTAGAGTTGAATGAGGATTTATTCTCCATTAAATAAAAATGTTCTCCTAATTTTCCTCATAATAAAAACGAATTTCTTTTTGAATGCCGATGATAGATATATAGTAAAGAAAAATATTTTTATTCATTTAATCCATCCTTTTGCTTGCCCATCACAACATCCATTTTAATTGCCAAAGTAAATATATCTTCAACCCAGAAAATATATATTTTTAAAGCTAATTAATTTGCGGCCACTCATTATAAATTGCATAAATTCCATGGTTTAGATCCCAGGATACAAACTTGTGACTAATAAAATTAAATTGCCTTGATAAAGGGCCAAAGGTAGCATTTAATTGAGCAAATCATAAAATTATTTAGACCGAGTTTGGGGCTGGGAAATGCAGACATTTCCAATTAACACGCTGCCGTTCGGTTGAGTATTTCAAAGGAATATATATCTGCCCAGGTAGACGATATTAAGTCATTAGCATTTCTGCATTCCCCCTTTCACCTCCTCCTCTTCCTCCTTTTTTGGCATTCAGGGAAATTTTCGCTTTGCTTTTCTGCTCATTGCAATTTGCTTCACTAATGTTTCTTCTCTGTTTTCAAACGTCGCTCCATTCATTTAATGGCGTCTGCTTTAAATTTCCTTTTTTATTTGCACTCTACCCATCTCTTTCGCTTGCTAGCTGGCCGTCTCTTTCCCACTCCTTCCACTCAAATGAAGTGTGAATGGGAAAAGCGTTTGGAAATGAGATTTTTAAATATGGCCAGCAATTGTAATTCCAAATTCCGAATTTTAAAAGCCAATAGCAGAAGCAACAGCAGTGGCAACAGCAACACTCACAGCAGCAACATTGTTACATTTTGCATTTTATATTGCCAAGCTCAGCGGAAGTTGAGCCTCATGTCTTCATGTACTTTGCATATTTACACTAATAGAAATTGTGGCAGTTGGCAATTGAAAAAAGCCTTGTTGTTGCTGTAGATGTTGCTCGTGTTGCTGCTGCTGCTGTTGCTGCCTTTGCTGTTTTATGTGCGGCCATAAAAAGTGTCGCAAGGGGGCGTGGCAAGGGGGCAGTTTTATGGCTATTCTTCTTCTTGAGTTGCTGCTGCGGCTGTTTTATTGTTGCGACAACAGTGCAACATCACTAGTGTGTCCAGGCTTCGGCCATTCCTCAAACTTAATATATCCTGTTTCCTGATTTTCATGACGTCCCTATAAGTGCCCCCGAACCCATCCAACCCAAGCCAACCAGCTCTCTTGTCCAGCTATGGCCGCATTTTCTCGGTTTTCCCCGGGCTTTTCCCCATTTTCCTCCTCAACTACTAACCCTGTGTGCCATTTTCTGCATTTAAGTGCAATTCTATGCAAGAATGTGCCGACATGCATATTTGTGCTAAAGCCATTTCCCATCTCTCCTGGCTCGCTTTTCCCCCCTAGTTTTCCCTCGATTTTCCCCCCTCAGCTGCCATAAAATGTTCGTTTTGCCAGCTAATGCATACAAATGCCTGATGCGCTTTTTGCATTACAACAAGAACAGCAAAATAAGTGAATGAAAAAGGAAAAAGAAAAGAAAGAAAGGAGAAAGACAGCTAAACAACAAACAGAATGGTAAATTTCCATGTGTGTGCGACAGGGGACATTCACTTTTAAGTTGGCATTCGACAAAAATCGCATTGAATCTTGAACGAAAACAATGAGGAAAAGTCTGGAACACTACTAAGAAGCCGAAAAATGTGAGGAGCATGAAAGTGAGAAACGGAGCAAGTTAAAAAGGTACAGAGAAACTTGTAGAAAAAACTGTGCTTTTAGTTAATTACCTAAGTTCTTGTAACTTCAGACCAAAAACTGTTAGCAGCTTGTGAAAAATTTTAAATCAAAGTAGAGAGCTTATTTTTGGACAAGCAAAAGTTTTTAAATAAATTTATTTTGATATTATTTATGAGTTATTTTGTTTTTAACAAAAAATCACTTTGAAATGATTTCCAGTTTACTCTTAAAATATTTTAAATCTGTAATAAATTCTGTGGTAATTATTTATTTATTTAAAATGGCTTACAGTTTTTTCTTAAAAGATTTCATATCTGTAATA